CCCACATCAGTGGTACAGTCCCTCCCTCCCACCCAGGGCAGCCTGCACCAAACTCCCGCCCGGTCAGCGTGCACAGCTTCCCAGCAGGACTGCTCCCAATGTAGCTGCTTGGCCCCATGTGCTGCGCTGCGGGGGGCAGCTGCAGGCTGAATCCAAACAACTGGCACTCTGGGGCTTAAGCGTATGATGAATTGGTGTAAGTTAAATGCGCATATGATGTGACTCCACTGTAGGTATAAATGACAAAAAAGCTCTTGATATTTTTTTTATTTCCTTTTAAATGACTTTCTAAAAAAGTGTTTTTTCCTAAGGTTATTCTGCATTTTTCTCAGTTTTCACCCAGAATCTAAAATTGCTGCATATCTTTATGGAATATATTTTAACAAGGCTGTAATCAGGCTAGAATAAACTAATGCACAGTTAAAAGAGATGGAAGGTGCTCTGTATATTTTCCCCTTAGAATGCTGCTCTGGATTGGGAGACTGACTCAGTGGTTATGGGTATGCTCTTAGGCTTCTCTTTCTTGCATTCAAAAGCAAATCAACTACACAATGAGATTTGCTAGCATAGGTTTCACAACTTCCCATGGCAATCTAGTCCACTGCTTCATTGTTATAATAGTGAAGAAGTTTTTCCTAATCTCCAATCTAACCCTACTTTGCTGCAAATTCAAGCCATTGTTCTGCATTCTGCTCTCTGCAGCAAGAGGGAAAAGGTGTTTTCCATCTTCTCTGTGGAACCCCTTTAGGTATTTACCCCTTTAGGTATTTTAAGACTGCTATGATGTGCTATGAAGTGCCTTTTCCACAAGCTGAACATGCCTATTTCCTGCAGCCTCTTCTTGTGTGATTTGCCTTCCAAACCCTTTATCATTTTTGTCGCTTGCCTCTGGGCCCTTTCTATCTTCTCCACATCCTTTTTAAAATGTAGAGCCCAAAACTGCATAAGGGCACTCCAGATGAGACCTAACTAGTGCCAATCACAGAGGCAGTATTGCCTCCTGTGTTTTGGGATTGGAAAAGGCCAAATATAGCGTCCATCTTTAAGACAGTGAATAAGGAGGATCTGGGGAAATACAGATCAGTCAGTCTCACCTCAGTCCCTGGAAAAATCATGGAGCAGGTCCTCAAAAAACTGATTTCTAAGTACTTGGAGAAAGTAATTAGGAACAGTCAGCATGGATTCACCCGGGGCAAGTCATGCCTGACCAAACTGATTGCCTTCTCTGATGAGATAACTGAAACCTTGAGTGCCTGGTGCCTCCTGAATCTGGTGGAGGGCACCCACAGAAGCTACTGGTGATGGCAGCCCTGTCAGGGGGAGCACAAGCCCTGCTGACAGCATCAGTGTCAGCCTCTGGGGGGGGACACTGGCCCTGTCAGGGGGGGCATGTGCACCCCCTACTAGTTGGCTATGACTGAAACTGTGGTTGTAGGGAGAGGAGTGAACATGATATACCTTGACTTTAGCAAAGCTTTTGATATGGTCTCCCACAAAATTCTTGCAAGCAAGCTAAGGAATTCCAGGTTGTGTGAATGTACTGTACGGCTGCCTATACCCATGCTTGGGTGTGTATGTATATGGGGGGGGTCATTTTCATTACAGCAGTTCCTGGACAGCTGCTCTAATTAAAATCACTCACCATCACATGTATTAAGCCCCCCCCCCCCACATTTTTAAATGGCTATGGGATGCTTTAAAGCATAGTTGATGAGGTTTAGATAAAGTGCCAGCATGGCCCTTTTAAAATGTGGAGGCTTAATACACATGATGGTGAGGCAACACTGGAACATTCTAATTAGAATGTGGAGCAGACTTAATCAAGTCTGCTCTGATGCATTGTAATTAGAATGTAAATAAGCATATGTATAGGCAGCCTAGAGTGGATAGAAAATTGGCTGGATTGTCAGGCTCAGAGAGCAGTAATTGATGGCTTGATGTCCAGTTGGAAGCTGGTATCAAGTAGAGTGCCCCAGGGGTCAGTCCTGGGGACAGTTTTGTTCAATATCTTCATTAATGACCTGGAAGATGGGATAGAGTGCATCTTCAGCAAGTCTGCGGATGACACCAAGCTGTGGTGTTCAGTAGACATGCTGGAAGGTAGGACTAGGATTCAGAGTGACCTACACAAATTGGAGGATTGGGCCAAAAGAAATCTCATGAGGTTCAACAAGGACAAGTGCAAAGTCCTGCACTTAGGACAGAACAATCCTATACACCAGTACATGCTGAGGACTGACTGGCTAAGCAGAACTGTGCAGAGAAGGACCTGGGGGTTGCAGTGGACAATAAGCTAAATATGAGCCAATAGTGTGCTGTTGTTGCAAAAAAGGCTAACAGCATTCTAGGATGCATTAGTATTACCGTGTCGCAGGGCACTAAGGTGCCTGCTCCTTTAAGAGCAGAAACTGCCTAGGGAGAGGGCCCTAAGAGCCAGACTAGAGGCTAGTTTTCTTTCAGCAGGCAAGAGGCAAAGAGCTCTCAGAGAAGAAGCTCACCAGAGAGGCTTGACTGTCTGTTTTACTCTGGGTAGGATTAAAGGGCTCCAGCAGCTCACCAGATACCCTGTCCTACAAGGCACAGACCCCCTCACCAGTGTGGGGCATGGAGATGGGTTTGTGGAGAGCCTTGTGAGGACAAGAGGCTGAGCTATAGCAAGGCCCCAGGAGAGACAATGTTTAAATACCATCTGTGAGGCTTGGGGTGTGGTAAAGGGGTGGTTTTGGAGCCATACATCTAGCCCATAAGGCTGAGGATGTCCTGTGAGACATCCATTTTGAAGCAGGATCCAAAAGGGGTCTAAGAACCCACAGGGTTCAGTGGGGTCCATGAAGATTGTGTCCAGAATACAGTCTTGAGAGCAGCTTCCCAATTTATTAGAATTACCAGCAAGACATGGCAGGCGAGAATGAGGGTGTCCGTGGGGCAGGATTGGCATGCTCATGGAGCCTTAGGGGTATCATGGCCATCCACACCATGACAGAGTGTTGCCAGCAGATTTTTGGATTGCCATGAAGAAGTGATGGGTGCTGGTAGTTAGAGACTCCCTTCTGTGGGGGATTGAGGGATCCATCTGCTGGCCTGAATTGTTGTCCTTGGAGGTCTGCTTTTTGCCTGGAACCCAAATCCAAGATGTCATGGAATGATTACCAAGCCTTGTCTGATTCTATGACTACTACCACATGCTGCTCATCCATGTGAGCACCAATGATACTGCCAGAGGTGACCCTGAGCAGATCAAGAGTGACTACAGGGCTCTGAGTGAAAGAGTGAGGGTGATGGCAGCACAGATGGTGTTCTCCTCAATCCTTCAGGTTAAGGGGAAGGGCTTGAGCAGGAGCAGATACATCCTGTAGATCAACAGTTCCCAAGGTGGTGCCTGCGGGCATCATAGCACCCCCCAAGGTTTATTCAGGTGCCCACAGGGGATTGATTGGATTGATCTAAATACTTTAGTATCTATTGATCTAAATACTTTAATATTCATACTGACACTTGCTTCTTTTTCTTTTAAATTTGAGTGTGCCTTTGGGCACATAAACTTTGGGAACCCCTGCTGTAGATAAATGTATAGCTTTGCAGCCAGCAGGGATTTGGCTTCTGCGACCAAGATATATTGTTCCAAGAAGAAGAATTTCTAGGAAGAGAAAAGATCCATCTTGTGAAGAGAGGACAGAGCATCTTTACAGACAGGCTCAGTAACCAAGCAAGGAGGGCTTTAAATTGGGTTCACCCAGGAGATGGAGACTAAAGACTTGAGATAAGTGGAGAAGCAGGAGAGCTGCAGGAAGCACAAACAGAAGGGGGCAACAATGGAGGACTTCTCATTATTTCTGAGAAAATAGAACAATCAGCTAGTTATCTCAGGTGCTTCAGGTGCCTGTACATGAATGCACAGAGCATGGGAAGCAAGCAGGAAGAACTGGAAGTCTTCACACAGTCTAGAAACTGAGAATTGGTGGGATAGATTCCATGACTGTGGAGTACTGTCATGGGCTGTGTGTAGATGAAATGAGGGACGTGTGTGCACAACACTTTAAAGCAGGCTAAATGCTTTTGCACCACTGTAATAGTTTCAGTGTTTGCACATCTTGGTGGTGTATTGCAGGCTCTGCTCAAGAGAGGGGAAAAAAAAAGTGGCAAGCCTGATCTTCCTGCCTGCCTCCCCAGAGCCAATGTTCCCTCTTTGGTGTAGCGATCCATGAGTGCACGCTGCTTTGGTCTGTTCATGAAATGATCATGCCTCTCCCTTTCAGCATGCACTGTTTTGGTCCACCCCAGTAGCTTGGCCAAAGCTTCCCAGTGGGTCAGAGTATCAGTGTCTACCCTTAAGCCTGTCCCACTTTGCTGGTACAGTTAGAATGAGGCTCCCAGCTCTTCAGTTCTCAGTGGCTCCTCTTTGGAAGCTGGACATGGGGAATTCCTGCATTTAAGAGCATAAGACTAGAAGGGACCTGCTGGGAAATCCCAGGTGGGGCCCCTGCACATGCTGGCAGAGAACTGTGCAAAGGGGTCCACAATATCTACTCCAGCCCCTTTCGCACACTGTAGAGCCGGTGAAGCCACTGGCCCAAAACCCCACTGTGGGCCACGGGATGGGAGCAGGACATATAATGGGAGCACCGAAACTTTTTCCATGGCAGTGGCAGGGTGTTTCTTGAGCAAGATGTGTTCAAACAGACCTAGACAGCTGACCATGCCCCATGCTAGAGGCAGGCAAAACCCTACAGTCGTTGTACCTGGGAAGTCTCTCAATACATCCAGGGGCACCAGCACCCCCTATCCCAGCCCATCTCCCACCTCTGGCTGTGGCAAATGTCCAGGGCTTAAAGCTGAGAGGGGCAAGCTCTTTCTTGCTCCTTCAGGTGACCAGCAGAAGTCCTGCAGCCTGGGGCTATGACCCATCAATCTCCTCTCAAGGCAGGTTCTCCATTCCTCTAACTGCCCTGGCTGGGGAAGCACATGGTGTTGGGGCTCAGGGAGAAGCTTGTTCGAAGGGGCTGAGGAACGGAGCAGTTCCCTGGAGCAGGTGGAGCCCATGTGATGCCTGGCTGTGCCTCAGCCCCTGCCCCCATCTTGCTTCAGGGAGGAGCCACTGCCTGCACCGTGCCACTCTCCCCCCCCCCGTGGGGATGCTGGCATAGTGAGTGGAGCAGAGTGGCTCCTGCAGAGCCAAGCAGTAACTTACCGCTGGTAAGTGTTTTGCACCAGCCCTGCTGCATCCACCCCACTCTATGGCCAAAGTTTACAGGAAGCTGCAGCCCAGCTCTTCTCCAGGCAGGTGCGTGGCATTAAAAAGTTACTGCACAGCAACACTTTTTATTGTGCGCAGCCACACACACATGCAGCTTAGAGGGAACCTTGCCCGGAGCCTGCCTTCCCACCTAAGCTGCATGGGGGCCTCATGCTTCTCTCCACAGCTGCAGTGGCAAATGTTTCACGCCAGCCCTGTTGTCTCCACCCTGCTCCATGCCCAAAGTTTACAGGAAGCCGCAGCCCAGCTCTTCTCCGGGCAGGTGCGTGGCATTAAAAAGTTACTGCGTGGCACAGATGCAACCTTCTCTGGAGCCTGCCTGCCCACCTGAGCTACATGAGGGCCTGGTGCTTTTCTCCATGACTCCAGGACCAACCAAGCTTGGTGCCTGTGGGGAGGTGCCACCTGTGGGGGGCCACCACTGTTACGGAGGGAAGCACCAGCCCCCCTGCAGCCCAGGGACTGCTCTACCTGCTGGAAGTTCACCCTCCCCTCACCACTGCTGGAGAGGCAGGTAAGTCAGCAGGGTATGTGCATGACATGGGGGTTTAAATGGCGCTAAATTGAAGCAGTGTTTTTAAAAACACACCACATCAATTTAAGGCCCACGTTTTGTCTACTCATGCTCAAGGATGGGTACAAACTGTTGAGGAAGGACAGGCAGGGGAGAAGAGGAGGAGTTGTTACATTATATGTATGATTTCTCAGCATTCTAGTATGAAATTGGAGATAGGCCTGTTGAAAGTCTCTGGGTTAACGTTAGAGGGGAGAGCAACAAGGGTGATGTCATGGTGGGTGTCTGCTATAGACTACCAGACCAGGAGGATAAGGTAGATGAGGCTTTCTTCAGACAACTAGCAGAAGTTTCCAGATCACAGGCCCTGTTTCTCATGTGGGACTTCAATCACCCTGATATCTGCTGGGAGTGCAATACAGCAGTGCATAGGAAGTTTTTGGAGAGAGCTGTGGACAACTTCCTGTTGCAAGCATTGGAAAGACCAACTAGGGTCCAAGATTTTCTTGGCCTGTTGCTCACAAACAGGGAAGAAGTGGTGAGGGAGGTAGAAGTGGATGGCAACTTAGGCAGCAGTGACCATGAGATGATTGACTTCAGGATCCTGACAAAAGGAAGAAAGGAGAGCAGCAGAGTAAGGACCCTGGACTTCAGAAAAGCAGACTTTGACTCCCTCAAGGAACTGATGGGTAGGATCCCCTGGGAGGCTGCTGTGAGGGGGAGAGGAGTCCAAGAGAGCTGATTATATTTTAAAGAAACATTATTGAGGGCACAGGAACAAACCATTGTGATGTGCAGGAAGAATAGCAAATATGGAGGGTGACCAGCTTGGCTTAGCAGAGAACTCTTTGGTGAGCTTAAACACAAAAAGAAAGCTTACAAGAAATGGAAGCTTGGACAGATGACTAGGGAGGAGTATAAGAATATTGTTTGGGCATGCAGGGATGAAATCAGGAAGGCCAAAGCGCAACTGGGGGCGGCATGCAAGGGACATGAAGGGTAACAAGAAGGTTTTCTATGAGTATATTAATAACAAGAGGAAGGTCAGGGAAAGTATGGCTCCATTACTGAATGGAGGAGGCAACCTATTGACAGATGATAAGAAAAAGACTGAAGTACTCAATGTTTTTTTTTCTTGGTCTTCACAGGCAAGATCAGCTCCCAGACTACTGCACTGGGCAACACAGTTCAGGGTCAGCAGAGCCACTGACTGTTATCTTTGAGAATTTGTGGCAACTGGGAGAGGTTCCAGATGACTGGGAAAGGACAAATACAGTGTCCATCTTTAAGAAAGGGAAGAAGGAGGATCCAGACAACTACAGACCCATCAGCTTTGCCTCAGATCCTAGAAAAATCATGGAGCAGGTCCTCAAGGTATCTGTTTCTAAGCATTTGGAGAAGAAAATGGTGAGGAACAGTCAGCATGGATTCACCAAGGGCAAGTCATGCCTGACCAACCCGATTACCTTCTATGAGAACATAACTGGCTCTGTGGATGAAGATATTCTTTGACTTTAGCAAGGCTTTTGATATGGTCTCCCACAGCATTCTTGCAAGCAAGCTAAGGAACTATGGGTTTGTTGAATGAACTCTGAGGTGGATATAAAGCTGCCTGGATCACTGGGTTCAATGGGTAGTGATCAATGGCTCAGGGTCTTATTGGCAGCTGATATCAAGTGGAGTGCCCCAGAGGTCGGTCCTGGGGTTGGTTTTGTTCAGTATTTTCATTAACGATTTGGAAGATGGGATGGATTGCACCCTAAGCAAGTTCACGGATGACACCAAGCTCTGGGGAGTAGTAGATATGCTGCAGGTTAGAGCTAGGATTCAGAGTGACCTAGACAAATTGGTTGATTGGTCCAAAAGAAATCTCATGAAGTTCAACAAGGACAAGTGCAAAGTCCTGCACTTTGGATGGAAGACGCCCATGCACTAACTGGCTAAGCAGCAGTTCTGCAGAAAAGGCCCTGGGGGTTACAGTGGACAATAAGTTGGAGTGAGTCCACCATGTGCCCCTATTGCCAAGAAGGCTAATGGTATGCTGAGCTGCATTAGTAGGAATATTGCCAGCAAATCGAGAGGAGTGATTCTTCCCTTCTATTCCACAGTGGTGAGGCCAAATCTGGAGTACTGTGTCCAGTTTTGGGCCTCCCACTACAGAAAGATTGTGGACAAGATGGCGAGTGTCTAATAGTGGTTCCAAAGAGGATGGAGCTAGAATGTTCTTAGTGGTGGCAGATAACAGAAGCAGGAGCAATGGTCTCAAGTTGCAGCAAGGGAAGTTTAGGTTAGATATTAGGAAGAATTTTCTCACTAGGAGAGTGGTAAAGCACTGGAACAGCTCACCCATAGAGGTTATGGAATCTCCATCCTTGGAGGTTTTTAAGACCCAGGTAGACAGAGCCTTGGCTGGGATGATCTAGTTGGGGATGGTTCTACTTTGAGTAGGGGGTTGGACTAGATGACCTCCAGAGGTCCCTTCCAACCCTAATTTTCTATGATTCTGTGATTCTATATCTGCAGCATTTCCTTCATTAATGAAGTAATTACTCTGTCAAAGAAGATCAAATTTGTTTGCCACAATTTGTTTTTAGTAAATCCATGCTGACTGCCTGTGATCAGCCTTTTCTTCCAGATGCTTGGAAATGGACTTCCTTAAGATACACTCCAGTAACTTCATAGGTATTGAGTTGAGGCTAACTGCTGTGTAGCTCCCCAGACCTTGCTTACTGCATTTTTTAAAGAGGGGAACTACATTGACCTGTCTCCCATGACTTCATGAATATCGTTGCCAAGGGCTCCAAGATCTCTTTCTCTAGTTCTTTTAGTACTCTGGGATGAAGTTCATCAGTCTTGCTGACTTGAATTCATGTAGACCTGTCAAAAGCTCTCTGACTGTCCCTTTTCTCATCACTCAGCCTGTCCTCTTCCTTATGTAGGAAATTTTTATTAGGTGCCTGGCTACATCTTAATTTTTTTTGTCAGGACTAAGGCAAATTAGTTGTTTAGTAGCTGTATCTTCTTTGCATCTTCTGTTAAAAGTCCCACCTGACCAGTTAACTGTAAATCCACATATTCCTTGGTCTGTCATTTCTGGCCAAAATACTTATAGCACCTCTTCTTTAATCACAGAACTGCATTATCTGCACATTCTGTAAACATGTACTGTATGTTCATGTATTAATATGTGAGTGTTATTTAAATCCTTAATCAGAATAGGGAGATCTAAGTCCCAGTTCTAGCTCTGTCAAAAGCTTTATTGTAGAGAAATGGGCATGTTACTTGTCCTTTTTGTGTCTTAGGATCTCCATCTGCAAAACTAAGTGAAAATAATAGTTATTGACCTCTCAGGATTAGTTGAATTTATTAATGTCCATAAAGTTTAAAGATGCCTTGCTTAATGAGGAAAATATTAGAAAGAACTGTTTCTACACACATGGGAAAATAAAGTAGGGCTGTGTCTGCATCATGCAAGAAGGTCGTTGTTGGCTGTCAAACACATTTATATTGCTCTTTTTAAAGAGATAGATACTGCTGCACCCTTGTAGCAATTTAGTAGGCAAGAAAAGTGTGGTAAAATTCAACCATGTACCTGAAATACTCATTTAATCTATATAATTCTACCATATTGCCCACTAAAATAATAATTTCAGCTCTTGACCTTGGATTTGCTGGTATGTGACTTTTGCCTGCCAGAATTCCCTAGATAGTGAAAAAAAGGTGTGGGATGACGGAAAGGTTGGTATCTAAGTATAATATTATGTCTGATCAGATCTGGTGGCACTGTTTATCAAAACAGGTTCCCTATTACAGCTGAGGTAAAGCCCCACCCAGTTCCACCTTACCTACCATGGACCCTACCTAGAGCACATCAGTGCCCCCGTGCAGACCCTTGACTCCTATGGAGATAGGAGAGACCCTGGACCCACCCTCCTACATGGATACTGCCTGACTTACCCATACTATTCCTGGCTCCCCAGATGCCACCACTACAGACCCTACTTGAAGGGCCTGCTGAAGAGTGAAGATCTGTGCTGGATCTGAGTTGGTCCCACAGGGGTAAAGATCTATTTGGCTGCTGGAGAGGAGACTGACAGGCATGAGAGACAAAAAAGATCTGCTGTCTAACAGCCTGCAAGTTAGGGGAAGGAGGGGGTATTGTTGGGGGGAGAAAAGCTGGGGGTGTTCCCTTGGGGAACCAGCCAGTCAGCCCTGAACTGTGTCTCAGACTGCTGTCAGCTGTGTCCCAAAGGATGCTGGGATACATGTTCTGGTATCCCTGGCTGGATGCTTTTAGCATTGCAGGCTGTTTGTTTGCAGAACATGCAGACAGCTCTTTGTATAGGTTGCACAGGTTAAGCTGTTTGAAAATCAAGCAGTTGAACTTCAGCCAGCTGATCTGAACCTTTGTACACACCCATAGTGGAAGAAGAGTTCATTGACCCCTCCTGTTTTAAATGAGAATTCTAGAAAAGCATGGGAATGGATATCCTTCCTTCACGGCTTCTTACCTCCAGATAGTTTAAGTTTCCAACCAGCAATCTAAGACATGAGTGCTCTGATTTGAAAAATAGGGGACAAGATTGTTTGCTGGTGTAAACTGGTTAAAGCCTTTGAAGTCAATGAAACTATGTAGTCAACAGTAGTCAGTGTTTAGCTCAAGATTTACTAAACACAGAAGGTAAAGTTCATGTTAAAAATTGGAATAGAATTATAAATCTTGTAAAAAAGAAACTACAAAAATCTTACCCAATACTTGCCTCAGAAGTTTATGGGTGTCTTCCCTTTGATTTCAATTGATTTTAGATCAGGTTCTCAGATATATCGTCCTTTAATACAAAGTATAAAAACAAGTAACTTCCTGTTTGATGAGTGGAAATCAGTACTTAGTCTCTTGAACTTCTGTGTTCTTCTGTAGGAAAAAAGCAGCATATTCTGCTAGTTTAATGGGCCAGGTCACATTAGGAGTGCTGCTAAATATAGATCATCTCTGTAAAGTTGTGCAACCCTGTATAAGGAGGTGGGCAGTACTTCTGTTACTCCAACTATTATATTACTGCACAATTTTCTAGTTATAGACCATAGTTTAGACAGGTAATATGCTTCTTCTTTTTTGATTAAACTGATTTAAACAATACAGACTCAGTTTAAATTTTTTTAGCATCCGTTTCCCTAGAAACAAACCTTCATCCAGATGAATATTTATGAGATTAAAATGCAGAAGGGTGCAAACATGGCAAGTCAAAACTTGGCTTCTAATTTCCTGTAATATCCACAAGCATTTTTTCCTCTATTTGCCCATTCCTAATCCAGCTTTCTTCCTTTCACATATTCCTATTATCATTTCAAAGAAAAAAAAAGAACAGAGAGAATTCACAATATGCGTTTCTTTTACACTTTCTTTTTAATAAAATCAAACATTATTATTTTTCTACAAGATTCCCACTGACTTCCTTTTAATCAAACAACTACTATACCTATTATTCACTGTTTCATTTATTTATTAATTGAATTATTGAGAAACAGTACTCAATGATTCACATAAATGTCTCTTGAACTGTCCAGTAGAGTTATAAATAAAGAAGGGCAAAAGAAAGATGCACTTCAAAAGTTCCTGGGTTAAAGTTAATATGAAAGAAATCACCATGGGTTATTTGCATTAACTAATGATGACCTGAAATCAAAGACAAACCCTGGTGAAACTTCAGCTTTCAAGGTAATATAACTCTGAAATGTCTACTGGAATCTTCCAAATCTGAAATTTAAACTATTGTAATAGGCTATCAAAATTGTCATGCTGGCTCAGCAGATTGAGTGATGTGTTTAAGATTGATGGTTTTTAGAAGCTCTGCGGAAGTAAAATCGTTCCATCCAAATGGCCATAAGCAACTTTTTGTGTCCAATTATCAAAAACAAGCTTAACAAAATCTGTCAAGCACTGAACTGAGCTTTGAAATCATGCTGCAAAGTGATAAAAAGATTTCCCTTCAAGGAAAAGTTTTACATAGATTAGTAAACATTTCTTGTAATTTAATGCTTCCAAAATAGTAATTAATATCAAAAGAAGATAATTCCCTTTTTAGTTCAAACATACCCTAAAGGTTTAAATGTTACTTTTGTCTACAAGTCTTTGACAATACATTGAAGTATGCAAGCACAAATGGTGAGGATTTTTCATTAACACTGACAGTCTCTAAGTGCTCACAAATCTGCTCCAGTAGAAATCAGTGATTAAGTGGAATTAATTAGTATAATTCTGATCAGAGATTCTCTCAGTATTAGTTTAACAGGAATTAGTAATCAACCATTCTTTGTGTTCCTTTTAATGTATGCCTCCAATTTGACTGTGAACATTAAAAATAGAGCTGGAAGAGTTTTTGGATGCCTTGCTGTATGCTCTTATCTCTTTAAAAGATAAATAAATGGAAGACAAGCTCACAAGAAGAAACTTAATTAAAATCACAAGAGAAATTAAAATGGAGGAAAATGAGGACAACAAAGATTTCTTCCAGCTCTGTTCTGTAGGATCTACAGCAGGAGAGTTAATGAAACTAGGGAGAAAAAAAAAGAATGTGTTTTCTCCTAGTTCATTGTAAACTAGACTTCCAAAGCGTTCAGTTCAACACAAATGATTTTCCCTTAGGCTTTTCTGAGCTTTCCAGCTGAGAACTGAGGCTAGTTTTTGTCCAACTTGGCTGGAGAATTAAGAGAGAAAATAACATACAAAAAACTCCCACAGCAAACAATTTTTTGTGATGGGTACTCTGAATCAGTGTTACCAACAGGATGGCATCTTGTGATACTCGCTGTTCTTGCTTTTGCTGAAATTGAGATACTGCAGAAGAATCTCAGCTTTCTTTTTCAGAAGAGAAAGGTTTAGGGGAAAAAGAGTGCCTAGGCATGAGCCAGGAGGCTGCTCCAATGTGCTGTAATTGCAGTGCATCAGACAAGACTCAAATAATCGAGTCTGCTGGACCATGCTAATTAGTAGGGCTGTATGAACCTTCGGTTGCTGCTTCAATTCAGAGGAGATTTGGCCTGATTTGGCAGCCAAATCTCCAAATCTGAACCAAATCAGGAGACCCATTAATCTCTTTGAATCAAACTGGAAGCCTCCCATTCAACTTAGAGAGATTCAGAGAGATTTGCCGATTCAGACATAGACACAGATTTATATGTTTTTTCTACATACCTCAAGGTACCAGCTGGTTCGTGAACACTGAGATGGTGGAGTGGATGGAGCATGCCATGGACGCATGTGTGTGTGTGTGGGGGGGTCCCCAGCGTGTTCTGTGGTGGACCCGGAAGTGGACCAGAAGCACTTCTGATCCACTTCTGGGTCTGCCACGGAGCGCATGGGGAACCCCCACCGCCACCCAGCTCAGCGACTGGTGCCTCCTGGGTCTGGGGGGGAATCCAGAGTCCCCCCCCAGCTGATTGCCTGGGTCTGGGGGGTCCCCCACATGCTCCGCAGTGGACCTGGAAGTGGACTGGAGGTACTTCTAGTGCACTTCCAGGTCTGCCACCAAGCACATGGGGAGACCCCTGCACTCCTGCAGGAGGCTCCATCTGCCCCACTATCTCAGTGTTCATGAGCTGCGCCTGGTACCTTGAGGTATGTAGAAAAAACATTTAAAGCTATGTCTATGGCCTAATTGCTTCTTCTCTGAATCAGAATCGAATCTTCAGATTTGGATTCAGTCGAATCGAATTGGGACAGTGATCTGAATCAGTGAATCAAATCACTGTCCCCTGAATCAGATTTAATCTGAATCCAAATCGAATACAGCCTGCTTTGCACACCCTTACTAATTAGCACACTCCAGCCAGCCCTGTGTCTCATATATCAACGTCCCTGTGCTTCAAAATGGCATATGGGGCACTTTAACTAAAGCTTTAGACGAGCTTTAGATAAAGTGCCCCTGCTGCCATTTTGAAGTGGGGATGCTGATACATCAGATGCTCCAGGCACTTTTATTAGACTGGCTCTCAGAGCAGTTTTAAATAAAGCATCTCTCCCCTGGGAGGACAGGTGAAAATGCCCGAAGTTGAGAATAGAAAGTGAGTATGCATTAGTCTCAGAAACTAGAAAATCAGAACAATGAACCTCAGATTTAAAAGAACACCATCTTTTCCCTTCCTGCTTTTGAGTGCTTTAAATTATTTTTTATCTGTTTTTCCAAGATTACTTGAGAATAAAAGGAACTGTAAATCCAACTTTTTTCATATAATCTCAAAAAAAAGAAAAGGTAAAGAACAAAGAATTTAAAGCAATTCCAAGCAGGAAAGGAAAAAATCATGCCAATTTGCTCATCTAGGAGTTACTAACAGAGTAAAGCAGATCATACATACGTGACTAGAAAGCTAGTCTCCTTGGGTACACAGAAAAGACCTGAACCTGTGCTGAGAGAACTTTTGGATCCATCTGGAATGCCTTTGCTATCAGTGGGACACAAGTGTTCACTGGCATAATCCTCAGTGTAGTATCAAGGCATGAAACCTGTAAACTGGTACTCAAATTAAGTTAAAATGCCTTTTAAAGATGGTGTTGAACACATCCTGGTTCAGTTGGTACTAACATATATCTGTGATACCCCAAATGACAGCTGTGGAGTTGTTTTGGACTTACACAGAAAACTAAGCTCAAAGTCAATCCTAAAAAAAATACAAAACAATAAAATATGACATATGTACTAAGTATCCAAGGGTCTTGCTCAAAAGAAGACTTCTGCTCACACTTCACACGCATTTACTAATGTTTTTCTTTACTGCTAGAGTATTCATCTCAGGCTGAGTCTGCTCAGGCTGTTGAAGAAGAGCAGGTGTCAAACGGCATTTGCAGAAACTTATAAATGCCCAAATGTTATATTTAATATCAGTGTCAGACCTGCTCTTAAGTAATTTTATTTGCTGCACTACATATACCACATCTACTAGTAGCAATAGTTTTGGTTTCAGAAGCTATACTGATTCATAAATGTTTTTCAATAGGTAACATTCATGTTTTATAGTTGCATTTAAATCACAGGGATAAACTCCCATCATCATAAAAACCATCTGTGTTTTTCAGTCTGACGTATGTTCAATGTTTCAACAACTCTCAGCTCTTCCCTGGAACAAAGACCATTTTTTATATTGCCTGTTAGAACAAACAGGAGAGATGTCTTTAATATGCTGTCTATATTCTGTATAGGAGATGCTGATTAGAGCTAGTTGGAAAATTCTCAACGAAGCTTTGTCAGATAAAAAAAAAACTTTTGAAGAAACAGAATTTTGTGAACTCTTATCAATATTAACCAAAATAACTTGAGTTATTTTGTGCTTTGTAGTAACACAGATAGGAAATTACCTTGACCTAGAAAAGTAGTTAAGAGTTTCAGTTACTAAATAGTAATATATTGGCCCCTGTTCACAAACATATCTAGCAGGTGGAAACTGTTTCTTTTCAGGCATTTGTTGAATTCCTGTTTTGCTTGTCTCTTAGTGATTTTTCATTTCTAGGTCTCTCCCTTTTGGGTAACCCTGCTGCATAGAACACTTTCCCCAGGGCAAACAAAAGAGTGAACTCGCAGGTATGTTGTGTCTTAAAACTTCATGCTGCATTATATCAGTGAGCGCTCAATAGATACAGCCCCGAAACACATGCAAATGCAGTTAATAGTATGTTATTGTGGTTTCTTTTTAAAATCTTGAAGCTTCATAATGAATCATTCTAGGCAAGCTAGGCTGGCATGACGTCAGTCCTGGAGTTGTTGGGTTTTTTGGGTTTTTTGCCTAATTTGATCTGATCTGTTGATATATAAAAACAATTGTTTACTGTAGTTTGAGTAACTGCCCTTGAACTAGTTTTTTCTCTAACAAAAAATACATATCATTAACAGCTCACAGATTCTATTGCCCTTATTAGGTGTATATTGCCATGTGTGTATATGGGCCAAGGCACTGAAGTGTCATTCTATTCCACCCTGTTCATATATTTGAAAATCCATTAACACAATTAATTAACTCCTGTAACAATGTAATTTTACCTTTAAGTCAAAGTCATGGAAACACAATGAGGAGCAGAATCCACCCACCTTTTGTATTAACAGTGTTTTTGGAAATAGAGTAGTGGAAAATAAGATCTCACTTAGTCAGCTAAATCCATTTACCTAAATCCTAACTGATGGAATATAATTGGCCTAAAACACCAAGTTTCTATAGGTCCCCCATTCTTTAACATGAGCTTTAAAGTAATCATGGCTGGGAGAAACCTGTGCAATGCCTTCTCTTTTCTTATACAAATACAAACCAGAGGTTAAAGTTATTGGGGAATATTAATCATTTTTAAAGTCAACGCCTAACTCAGAAAAAAGAGCTCAAAAGAAAAACAAATTATAGATACCTTGAAGCTAATGCCTTGAGTGATTTAATGGGTTTATTCTTTCCTTCTGTTCAGTGTTTTTAATTATAGTAATTCCAGACCACAGAGTTTAAGTGTTTGTGAAAACATTTTTTTAAAGTTTACTGTTTACTTGTACTCTCTTGTTTGCCTGTCTGTATATATAAGTTGTGTCTTGTATTAGAATTAGATTGCAAGTTTTTCAGGACAGTGTCTGTTTTTTTGTGTGCTGTGTTTGTACTGCACCCAGCACAATGGGGTCCTCCACCTAGGGCTTCTGGGTGCTCTGGTAATACAAATAATAAATAAAAATAGTGAGAATAACAATCAAAAATGTAACTGCAACATTTCTGAACTGCCATTGGTGACACTAAAATGAAAACAGAGCAAGGATGAAGCATCTCTATTAAAGAAACATGTCACAATGAAGAAAAAAATACCTGCCCGCAGCAGGAATACTCCTCTGAACTTTGGCAAACATTATTCTGCAAATGCCATTCAAAACAGACGTACCTCTATGAACAGTAACCTGACATTTATAACTATACTAAATAATGCAACAAAAGAATTTTCAAGGTTCATGTGAACCTTTTCAAAAGTAGAGTTTGCAGTTTCTTAAATAATTTAACATGTTTAGAAACCATCAGAGTGAATCATATTTTGGAACACAAAGCAAATATTAACTGCTGAGTTGTTTGAGAATTTTGAGTTTGCATCATATGAGAGAAAACAGCATCGGTAAGTTCAATGGGATCTTTTGTTTTGTAAGGCAAAGGACAGTGCAGTTTTCTTATGTGTTGGTACAAACCAAACAATGTGGCTCAATATTTGTACAGCAACACATGCCCTTTTGGAATGTTTCCAAATGTTTCCACATTATTAGCAAAGAACTTTTTGGTTGATTCTTCATATTCCCTTCGTGTAGATTTTTGAGTGAATTTTCTTGGTTTTAACTTTTATGCCTATCTTTGCATTGAGGTATTGAATTTGAGAGCCCACCTGATCTGATTTTACTGGAAATCTAAGATTAAAAAAAAATTGGGAGATGGAGGAAATGGAGTACATGGACAAACCCATGCAATTTGTCCTCGTGATCGCATATTTAGGTATTGTGGTTAATTTCTTTACTTTGTTTAGGGAGGGAAACATTATATTGACACAAAGCTGGTATAATAATAACATTACTATGTATAATCTTATA